TAAATGTATTTATTTTTGAAAGAAGGTGATTTTCTTATGTTATCTCCAATTGTATATGTGTTTCCATTTTTATTAGTCTTGGCTTGTTATATGAACTTTAAAACGTTTACTACATGATATAGTTGTACAGTAATCTATTGCAATTCTAAATTGTTCTCCATCTACCTAATGAGGTGTAAGTGCTTATATATACAATTCTGGTTAGACTTAAATTGAAACGAAATATTGCGTCCTAATTCACGTTTTCAATGGAATTTTATAGTGTGAATGGCTTTTCCAAGCTGACGAAGCGTGATTATAATTTATTAATACAAGGCAATAGTATTAGACATATTGTATTTTAACCCTGAATTATTTATCTAGTCCCGTAGGCATTTTCAATACTATTTTCAAGTACTAATGTCTTATGACAAGTATAATTAATTAGAGTTTAAAACTGTCATGTTCATATTTATTGTTCCCCCCAGTGGCACAGCGGAATGTCTGCGGACTTACAACGTTAGAAACCGGATTTCGATACCCGTGTTGGGTAGAGCACAGATAGCCCATTTTGTAGTTTTGTGCTTAAATACAAACAAACAAACATATTTCGTACCAACGATAGTAGGAAAATCAAGCTTTAACGAAGTCGTTCGTAGAATATCGTAAATTTAATATCGTTATTCTCGAATTGAAATAATTCTGTACTCTCCCAAACTGTAACACATAAATATTTGTTTTTATTGTTGAGTTGTTAGAGATTTCTTCTTTACTTATCAAACAAATTCTCTGTTGTTTTTTTATGTTTCAAAATAACAGATGGCATTATCTCGTATTTTATTCAGGTGATAACTGCTTATTTCCATTTTATTGTATTTTGAATAAGAAAGCTCAGTGTAATCCAATACAATAACTTGCAAATGTGTAACATTCGGGGACCGCTACTGAAGGAGATTTTTGTTTCAATTAAAGATGGTGTGTCGGGTCATAAGATATATTTCTGTTAGTGCGGATGTTGAATTATCCAGTCCATGATGATGTAACATGTCTTTAGCCATTATGTACATATACATTATGTATAACAAGAAGTAATGTTAACAAATGAAAATGAATTACCATCCTCTAAGAATAATGAAGGAAGGAAAGAAAGAACAAAAACATAATGTCCCCTAAAGATGGCACAACAGATAACCTAAACAATTTATTTATATATATAAAAGAGGAAGTTTGTTTATGTGTTTATTTTGTTCGCTATAGGAAACCAAACGTTTGAACTTACAAATTTTTAAAATAACTTCATAATAACCAGTTTTTTACAATAAATTTAATGGTGCTATTTATGTCGTATTTGGTGTAGTATCTAGTGACGAAATTGACAATTAATAATTATTACGCCATTTTTTTGTAATAAATGTTTTTGTAATAAAAATACAAACATGTGCACGTTTTGCACATAGGAAGCGTTATGGCGGGAGACATTCAGATCACCTTGCTGTAAATTCAGTATTTCCAAAAACAGTTTTCTTTAAATAGTGCTAAGTGGTTTCATAAGTGACTTGGTAACTTTGTGAATTGCAAATTATTGTTT